ACCCTGCTGGTTTTGAAAATGCCCCATTAGTGGAAGAAATGGTGGCAGAGTTATCACCAGAAGTAGTCAGAATCATTCTCTTTAAAGGGCACACTGGTGGAATTTTCAGATAACACTCAGCATTGCTATTTTTCTTTTAAGTGGAAAGCAGCTGCTCTGGGCACAGGGAGAGGTCATCTTTGGGGTTTCAAATCTCTAGTTAAGGCTGTAACCCCACAAAAGTAGTTATCCTTTAAGATAATTACATTCTACCATTGTTCATACTAAACTCTTGAGACGGACTGATTGGCATATTTAAATCCCATCTCCCAGGCATTTGCTAATTATCATAGCCTAGTTGGGGGAGGGAGGAACCTAATCAAATAACTGTTTAGAGATGCTTTGCATTTTAAAATTGTGCTGGGTTTATCCTAGGAAAAGAGGAAATGTGCCTTTGATTTTCCTCTGGTTCTTTCCTTGACCTCAAGAGGGTTTAAACTCTTAATGGTTAAATAGGTATAGCGGATCCATCAGGAAACGGTCTCTTGTGCACCATTTCCACCTGACCCCCTTTCATCACCCTGAGTGAAGCTTTCTCACTTAGTGACTTCCCATCCATGAGGGGCTGTGGAATTCCAGCTAATGAGGCTCATCCTTCTTTTTTTCACTGTAAGTGGTACCCGCCGGGCCCAAGTCAGATCTGAAAGTGAACAGTGACTCACATCTTTTTCAGGTTCACAAATGGAACACCAAGTCCACAGTGAAAGGAAGAGGCATTTCTTCCTCTTGCCCAGAAAAAAAAAGACAAAAAGAGCAGCCTCTCGGTGCAGCAGTTTGAGTAGAAGCCACCCTCCTCAGAAAAGGCATCCAAGACTTGATGTTATTTTATTAACAGCAGCTGGTGGAGACCCCTACCCCCACCCTGCCAGCTGAACTGATACCATTTTTTGCATTGTTTTTGCAGCATTGTGCTCAGAATTGAGAAAACAGGATGGTTTTCTCTCTTATAGAGAATATGTGGCTTTCAGTGACAGAAATCTCACCAAGGCCTTTCTTTTGTCGGGAGTGTCTGAAAGGGCCTGTCTTTGAGATTTATGAAAGAGCCCCAGTGAGCCACCATCACCCCTCGTTGTACCTCCGAAGAAAGCACAGGGAAGAGAAATTGCATGGCAGTTCCATCACCTGTCACAGCCATGAGTCCGTTGGTCGGCCTTCTGTGAACGGGTGTGTTTGCGGCTCTGCAGGAGCAGACACCTTCCTGCAGCAGGTTCACAGGCCCCAGCAGGAAGCCCAGGTCTGGAGGCAGCTTCAGAAAGAGAAAATCCCGGTTCCATTAGAAGCCAGAGCCGCGGTGCTGGCAGCTGCATCCAGTTCTTTGAGAGTGGGATGTATGGATTTGAGGGAGGTGGGAGGAGAAAGTAAAAAAATCAAACCCAGCCCTTGTGAGCTTTGATTCTGACCATTCAAACAATTCAAAAATCTGTAACACTTGAAGATCTGAGTTCTCTCTCTCTCTCTCCTAGTCTGACCCATTAGTTCATCAAGATGAGAGGCTTTGGTTTTCTTAGTTAATTATTCTGTGGTATTCTGTTTCAGGGTTTTGAAATCAAATTGCTTGATGTGTTACTCTCTCCCATGTGATTAGGTCATCTTTCATAATGGGGCTGCAGGAATCCTTTCAAGAACACAGTGCTTCAGCTCAGCACCGTCAAGGAACATGTCCCATGCAATTCAGTCTTATGGGAGTGAGAAACTGCCATCAACCCCTGATTATGAATCCAGAGGTGTCCCTGCACATCATCCATCATCACAAACCTAGAAAAAATGAAAAGAAAACCTACGCTGAGCTGTCTGATCAATGCAAAATCAAGGAGCTTACAGGGTGGCAGCTACTTGACTTCCTAGGACAAATGAGCTCCAAGACCAGAGTCATTTTAATAGTTTTTGTAGGGCTGAAGCAGGTCTGTCTACTGCTTTGGCATTCTCTCTCCTGGTGTGAACAGGTAACCTTATCAGTGGGGTTTGCAAGCCTTTCTAGCCACACACCCCCAATCAAAAACAGCAAAAAAAACAAACAAACAACAAAAAAACCCCCGAAAATATGTACTTTGAAATCTCTGCTGATGGGAGCCTAGGAGGAATAAAGAGAAAAGCCAAATGCATTTCTCAGGCTACATGTGAGAAACAAGGAGCTTTTATTTCAGATACTAATTAAGATCTCAGTGCAGATGTTCTCTTGGAGGCCTTCCTTGGTCACCTCCACCCACTGTCATTCCCTATCTCCTTCCCTTGCTTGATTTTTTCCTTCATAGTGCTTGTAAGAGTTCCCCTGCTAATTTTTTTCCTGTTCATTGTCTGTCTCCCCACAGTAGGGAGCACCAGGAGCTTTGCCTGTCTTGTTTACTGCTGTAGGTACCAGAACATGGGGTACTTAGCACATGCTCCATACATATTTTCTGAATGGATTTCAGATGGGGGGAGTTTGAGGGAAGAACAAGAGGAGGCAAAGGTTGGAACCAGACCTGAGTATGAATCCAAATCCTCCACTTATTGGCAGTATGCCCTTGGAATAGTTACGGAACCTCTCTGAACTTCAGTATCCTCATCTAGAAAATGGCCATAATACCTGCTTCCCAGAGTAGCGGTGGAGGCTGAAATGTGATGTACGCGATGACATCCGGCACAGGGGCTGCTGCATGGAGATGCTCAGTGGCTCGTTCTCCAAGCCTTGATGGACACAATTTTACTGGACAAGAAACAGGGCCAGGGCCTTTTCCTGCCCATGAGTTTCCAGTGGTTCTCAGGCCTCCTTCTGGAGTCCGGGAATGGAATCTCCAAGTAGAATGGTGCTATCTTCTTTGGGCTCCAAGGAGAACCACCAGGAATGTAGATGTCCCACACTGTTCTGCACAGATCAGTTAAAGATGGACCCGAGGATTCTGTACCCAGACCTGGGTCCACAAGAGAGGGTGATGCCAACTGGAAAACAAGTCTCCTGCCCTCCTGGAGCCTTTGTCTCATCCTGGGCTGAGAGCCTCCCTGTGAACCCCAAAGGCCCGAGACAGGACACTTAGGCCGCGGACAGTCTAGAAAGTGGTTATCAAGGCTGAACTTCCAGATTTCAATAGCATTGGCTCCCTGGGAAACCTTGACGTTTAGGTAAAAGAACTGATTCTGCCTCTTTTTCATTTCCCGAGGCTCCAGACACAGCTGGGGCAGCTTTAGAGACCATCCATTCCCTCTAGCAGACTGAGCCTCCGGAAACAGGGGGTTTGGACATTTCTTGTTTTCCAAGAGAAGCAGAACCTCAGGATGGGCCAGTCAGCCCAGGCACAAGGCAGCAGCCAGTTCTGGTTTTGAGTCTCGGAGTGCCACGTGCCGTACAGAGGTGGTGGGTCGGTGCTTTGTTCATTCATTCGTTAGACAGCGAAAGCAGCCTGGTGAGATGGGAAGGATATCACAGCCTTTGGAATCAGCCAGAATCTAGTTTCAGACACTGGCCCTGCCACTTGCCAGCTGCATAGCCCTGAATGCTGGGAACAGGAGGCACTAATCTTACCTCAGAGGTTGTCAAGTGGGAAGCAGTGTGCTGCCACAGAGTGCGTGTTCCCGACCTTCCTTTGCCTGGCTCTGCCACTAATTTGTTGTGTCCTTTGCAAGTTATTTAATCCTCCAGGACTCTGTTGCTTCATCATGTAAAATAAGGATAATAATGGTAATCTGCCTTGCAAGGTTGGTGCAGGGCTTAGCCCAGTGCTCAGCAGATGTCCACTACTGGACAACAGAGGTAGCACATGTAGCCATTATTATTACTAATGTGCTGTTTGACTTCCTCCGTTGGGCCAGGCTCTGTGCCAGGGGTTGGGTTTCAGAGATGAATAGGTCACAGAGCTCAAGGGTAAGGGAGACAGACACAAAAGAAATTATCCTACAGAAGGGTTAAATATTGCCATTGATGGATGGCAAGGGGGCTGTAGAACAAGGTGCTGGTACCCAAGCTCCAGAATATTAGAATTTCTTATGCAGAAAAAGGGCTACGGTGGAATGGAAAGTGTATTGGAGATAAGGTAGTTTGTTTATTCAGTTTTTCATTGACAAGTGCAATGGCCCCACAGTGATATATTAGTTTCCTATTGCTACAGTAACAAATCACACAGACTCTGTGACTTAAAACAACACAAATTTATTCTCTTATAGTTTTGAAGGTCAGAAGTCCAAAATTGGTCTCACGGGGCTAAAATCAAGGAGGATCGTCCACTTTGCAGTCGGGGAACAAATCTCAGTGCGGTGACAGAGCTCAAATTTGCTTATGACCTTCTTCATCAGCTTCTTTTGTCCATCTGCAAACTCCACACTGAGATCATAAAGATTTTCAGCAGGAAGATGTCTTACCCATTCTTGCTCTCCCTGTGGCCTGGCAGTTGGAGCTGCTCCTTTGTTGGGTCTTTGGTAAATCCTTGTTGAGTCAAAGCCACTGGACAGTGGGTTTCTGTCCCAGGCATTGCCATTTTCCCATGATCCTCACAACAGAAGTGGACAAGGGGAGCTCCTCCCCCTGCGTTGTCACCATCCTTAGGCATTTATTTATTTATTTATTTATTTATTTATTTATTTATTTTTTTATCCTCACCTGAGGACATTTTTCCCTTTTTGTTCAGGTAGAGTGGGAGGGGGAGAGAGGAAGAGAGATGTGAAAGGGACACATCGAGTGGCTGCCACCCGCACGACCAACCAGGGCCGGGGACAAACTGCAACCGAGGTACATGCCCCTAGCGGGAACCGAACCCGGGTCTCTCGGGACCGCAGGCTGATGCTCCAACCGCTGAGCCAAACCGGCCAGGGCAGGCATTTATTTAGAATATTTTCATAGAGGGCCTCTAAATGCTAGGCACTCCGCTAAGTGCTGGAGAGTAACAGTGAGCAATGGAGCCTACATTCTGGTGGGAGAAATAGATGCTAATTAATCAACCACACAATTAATATAAAATTCTGACACTAGTGCTGCAGTTGTAGCGGGCATGATGGCTTCAAGGTTACTTTGCGGAGCTGGAGCACTGGTCGCACAGGCCCTGAGGGCCCGCGGTCCCACCGGGGTGGCCGCGGTGCGCTCCATGGCGTCTGGAGGTGGTGTTCCTACTGATGATGACCAGGCAACTGGGCTGGAGTGGGAGGTCATGTTGGCTGCGCGGAAGGGACTGGATCCATACAATATGCCAGCCCCAAAGGCAGCTTCAGGCACCAAGGAAGACCCCAGTTTGGTCCCCCTCATCACCAACAAGCAAATAGTGGGCTGCATCTGTGAAGAGGAGAACAGTGCTGTCATCTGGTTCTGGCTGCACAAAGGCGAGACCCAGCGGTGCCCTAGCTGTGGAACCCATTATAAGCTGGTGCCCCACCAGTTAGCCCACTGAGCCCCTGCACTAACTCAAAATGCGCTGTAAAGTTTCTTGTTTCTGATGAAGACTAGCCATTGCTTTGGGTCCTCCTAAAAAAATAAATAAATAAAATATTCTGACATTAATATTCCTCTGTAATAGGGGCATTTGACCTGACCCAGGAGGTCAGACTTCACTAGGACATGGCAGCTAAACAGATCTGAAAGATGAGTGGTATTTGCCAGGCCAAAAGAGGAGTGACAGTGATCCAGGGGGTGGGACTATGGTGTTAGGAGGCCCTGGAGCAGGAGGAGGCGTAGGTTTTTGAGGAACTGAGAATGGAAGCTAGTGTGGCTGGGACAGAGGTGGGGAGGATAAGCTGAGGCTGGGAGGCATGAGTCTCAGGACTCTGCAGGTCTTCACGGGCTTTAATGACTTTGATTTTTATATCTGAAGGAAGTGTGTGTGTGTTGGGAGTGGGATGGAGATATGAATAAATTTGCATTTCAAATAATCTCCCAGGCTACGGTATGGAGAGCAGTGTAGGAAGCGAGAAAGGACTCCTCTAGGCTAGTTACAGGCCACTGCAGGAGTCCTACGGAGAAATGTGAGGGGCTTGGATTAGAGCGCAGAGAGAAATGGGTGGAAAGATAGTGGGTAAATTAATAGGATAACATCTTATTGAGCACTTATTATGTATCAGCTGCAGTGCTAAACATTTTGCATATGTTATTCACTCTCCCAGTTATTATAAGGATTAAATATTCCTGTCTTCCTTTTACAGAAGAAACTGAGTCTCAGAGAGGTTAAGTCACTCACTCAAGGCCACACAGCCAGTAGATGACAGAGCCCTATAGCAGTGTCTACCTTTACTGTGCATTTGGATCACCTGGGGATCTTGTTAAAATGCTTGTTCTGATTCAGCAGGTCTGGAGTGACGCCCCGGATGCTGCATTTCTAACATGCTCCCTGGGTGTGCCCATCTGCTGATTGGCAGCTAGGTCTGTCTGCCTCCACGGCCCACACTGGCAACCACGGTGCCTCAGAACAGCTAGAGCTGGGGTGAGAGTTCTGAGACTGCTCAAATCTGAATCCCCACTGTCAGGATGTGAGAGACCTGTGTGGACCTCAGAGAGGTAGGGCTCATATCACGTTTGTATTTCCTACATGTGCCTTTCGATAGTTCAAGCAAACACAAAAGTGAGAGGGCTGGAGGCAGCACCTCTTCCTTCTACCTCCCCCGACCCACAGCATAACCAAATCCCCCTTGCATCCAGCTTCTGAACCATAGATAGGGCTTATGTCTCAGCAGCAGCCGCCAGTCAGGTCGTGTGGATTGAGAAATCTAACACGGATGGTGTTCAGGTCCACGTTGTCAGCCGCTTCCCTGGACTGTGCTGAAGTGAAGGGAAAAAAATTAACTCAATGTTCTGATCTCTCTATCTGCATGGTCATTAGATCCCAGGACTATAACAGTCCAAATCCTTTCCCACTCGGACCTGCTAATGGCGCCAAGTGTCACTGCTGGGAGATGCAAGCAAGGTGTGAGCACTTGTCTTTGATGACTGAGAAAATCTATTTCCCTTCTTGGCAGCTTTGAGATGTTCCAACTGTGGTTCTGGGTCGCTGCCAGACTCGATCCTGTCTGTGTGTGTGTTTTATTTTAAAAAGGGGAGAATGTCTCACTGTTTCCAGGCTTACCTCCTTCCTCCACAATTGCCTCCCAAGAACTGTCCAATGCAAACTTTCTGTTAGTTTTCCCCTCTGGAGGGGGTCTGCCAACATTCTCATTCCCTCCCTCCTCAAATGCATCCTTTCTCTCTTGGTTCCATTGTTCTGAGGCTCCTCAGCTAGGGTGGGCATCTGTGCCTGGATGAAACAGAAAATTCTAGTCACTTTTCTGCAGGAGAGCATCCTAGAGCTCCGAGACAGGTAGAAAGAACATCTTAAATAAAATAATAATGTCTGCCTCAAACTAGTAGATATTTTTCATTTTAAGATTTCGTGTCACTGTAATTTGTTCTGGTGGGCAAGAAGAGCTTTTGTTTGAGAAAGAACTGACAAGATGTCTTAGGATTCAGCTCCATTTGCTCTGCCTGTCTCTAGATCATTGGCGCTTTGTTTTCTGCCTTCGCAGGTCTCGGTGAAGGGAAGTTCTTTGCAGGCTATTGTTAAGTGTTCTTTGAACCCATAAATCACACTGATGGAAGGGAGGGGCTTCCAGGGACCAGCTAGAGCAGCCTTCTGTCTCTAGCACAGACAAGCACGCACACAAACGATAACTGTCTGTTGTGTATTTCAAGAACCCAGTGGGAGCAGAGGTATAATTTCTCTTGGTATTTAAGTCTTATGTCTCTTGATCCTTATAGTCATATTCTTGAGTCTGTCCCAAATTTCTCTTGTCATAGCTCTGGCTGCCCCAGCCCCAGTCACCTGCTTCACTGTCCTGGCCCATAGTTTTAGAGAGACAACCACCCCTGTGTTAATAATGTCTGTGTCCTGGCCATGATCAGTCACTTCCCTGTCTGGGTCTCACACAGTCCTTGTAAAATGTGGCTTTGGGACTTGATGATGTCTCTGGCACTCAGATTCTGTTTGACTCTGAGATTCTGGTTCTGTTATGTTGTTTCTCTTGCTGGTTGGCCTTCTGTCTTATCAAAATCCAGCTCCCTCCCATCCACCCCCTGGCCAACCACCCAAGCATTCCCTTTTGACTTAGGAGTAGCACCTTATTATTTATCTCTTATGTTTTCATTTTAACAACCTTAATTTTCACATTACAAACATTTCTAGGTATTCATCATAGGAGATCCAGAAAATCTAAGTCAATAAGAAGAAAAAATAACTTTTCATAATCAAACATAACCACTGTCAGTATTTTTGGTATATTCCCTTCCAGTCTTTCTTTCTCTCTCTCTTTCTCTCTCTTTCTCTCTCTCTCTCTCTCTCTCTCTCTCTCATACATATATACATAGGCCAGTGAGTTTCATACTATAGTTTGGTATCCTGCTTTCCCACTTAAAAATGAGCATTTTTGCATATCCCTAATATTTGGAAACATAATCTGTTTAATACTTTGCATCTCATACTTTATTTAGCCCTTGCATGGTTATTTCTAAATGGGAATAATACCTATTCTGTCAAGCCCACTGAACTACCCAAAGCAAATGAGATAAAGTGTACAAAGAGCTATACAAATATAGCAATGATGGTTCATTATGCTAGTTTTATCTCCCTAGGTGACCTACTTTACTGTATTGTCACAACATTGATATACATTTTTCTGTTCACCAAGTTTTGCTCAATGGTGGGCAGAACAAGCTGTCTGGTTTTAATCTTTAAAAGGGAGTGTACATATTAATAACGTTCCATTTTTTTCTAGCAGTTCCTTAGAGACTGAAATTACTCAAAATATAGAAAAAGGAATGTGCACAAAGATGTTCATTATGGCATTATTTACAGTAGCCCAAAGTACAGATCACTGCAATGTCCAATTAATGGGAGGAAGGTTAAGTAAATGATGCTAAATCTACTTGCTGGCCTCTAAGGTGGCTATTAAAAAGGATGTTTGCAAAGCCTCTGTAACAAAATGGAAAATGTTTATGTCGTCATCACTGGAAGAAGCAAAGATGAATGAGAAAAGAATGGAAAGAAAGATATCAAAATGTAAATGGTGGGCCCTGGCTGGTTTGGCTCAGCGGTTAGAGCATTGGCCTGTGGTCCGGAGAGACCCGGGTTCGGTTCCCGCTAAGGGCACGTACTTCGGTTGCAGTTTGTCCCCGGCCCTGGTTGGTCATGCGGGTGGCAGCCACTCGATGTGTCCCTTTCACGTCGATGTTTCTCTCTCTCTCTCCCTCCCTCTCTATCTGTACAAAAAATGGAAAAATGCCCTCGGGTGAGGATAAAAAAAAAAAAAAAATGTAAATGGTGGTTATAGCATTTGAATAATGAGTGATTTCTTTCTCTCTGCTTTTCTACAATGAGCATGTATTCCTTGGATGGATGGATGGATGGATGGATGGATGGATGGATGGATGGATAGGGAGAGAGAGACCCCATTTTTTAAACTGTGGTAAAGAGTGTACACAGAAGAGGGAAGTAGGGGCATAGAACTGAGCTAAGTGAAAGGACCAACCTAGATGGGGGGGAGGAGCCAGGGGCCTGAAGCCCAGACTGCACTGAGACTTCTGGAAAATGCTCAGAACTACCAAGGGGGCCTCTTATTTTGGGAGCAGGGAAAACAGAATAAAACAGGAACCTCACTTGAACATAGTAATATAATTATAAAAGGAGAACTCGAATTGCTAGTTTCTCATTTGCTCGGTCTTCTGACCAGAGTGGGCAGGACAGGCATGGTGAGGGGGCGTGAAAGTCCAACGAGTGTTTGAGGAGTTGTGGGTAAGAGGAGCCGGGAGGAGCTGGCCACAGGCATATTCTGTCATAAGTTAAAATGGAGAAAAACATTTTGTCATGTATAAATTTAGGTGAAAATGACATCAACCTCCAGAAAAGTTCCCTAATGGGTGGTGGTTATTTTTTAAATAATTTCAGACTTGTAGAAAAGTTGCAAAAATGTAACTAACATTTTACATTTACCCTTTACTTAGATTCCTCACATGTTAATCTTTTTCTCTGCTTTTTTTCTCTCTTTCTACACACACACACACACACAATTTTCTGAACCATTTGAGACTTGGCTCTCCCTGGCTGAAGATCTGTTATGTGGAAGTATATGAACTGTCTTTCCCATGGCCCAAGGGGAAACACAGATCGGGATTTAGGAAGAACTTTGTGAAACTCTACAATAGAATGGGCTTCCCTATAAGATGGTGAGAACCCCGTCACTGGGGGTGTTCAAAGAAAGTTTACTAAATATTTTATTAAGGAACTTGCATGGGGCAGGAAGTGGACTGGGTGACCTTAAGGTCTTAGAACTGCCTAAGCATAAAGCCAAGGACTATCCTTCTCTATAACTAAGTCCAGGGGTCACCCAGGACACTATCACCAGTTCCAGGTTAAGATTAGCCTTTCTATGGGTCATCCTGTTCTTGTGCCCCTCAGGCCTATGTAGCCATCAGGATACTTGGGTGCCCCGGAAGCTTCCCTTTAGACACAGGCTTAACCTCTTCTAAGTACTTCTGTTGCTCACAAGACCCTCCCTCTGGCTGTTACCCATCTCACCTGTGCCACATGTGGTCCACACTGAGTCTCCAGCCATGTGTTAGGCTCCAGAGCCAATTTTCTTGTGTATTATTACATTCATTCAGTAAATATTTCGTGAGCGCCTGTTATGTTCCTGGATGATATGCCCGTGAAAAGGGGGGAGGGGACGGACCAAATAGTTGCAAACATAAAAGCTTGGCTGTAGGCTGCTAAGGGATTGGGCAGGGGGATTGTGGGGTAGGAGTCAGGTCCTGACTTGGGCTTGGCTGGGGAGGTGGTCTCTCTGCACATGTGCCCTTCCAGCTGGGATCTGAAGGAAGACAAGCAGTTGGCAGGGAGGTAAAGGGTTGGGGTCAGGAAAGCATTTCCCCCATAGCTGCAGCTCAAACTGTGGCCAAGCACAGGACAGGACACCTGACAGGTGCTGCTTAGGGTGCGTGAGGAAGAGAAATGAGGACAGCTTGGCAGGGGGTCTTTCCTGTTCCTGCTCATCCAGTGCCTGGGCTGAGCCACTCCTGACTCATGATGGGAGACCCAAGGTTTGCAGGTCTGCATGTACATGCGCGCGCGCACGCACGTGCGATTGAGAGAAGCTCTCTGCCAGCTTTCTGAATCCAGTCCCAAGTGACATAGAGATCACTGGTGCTGTCCCTCCCCTTCGTTGATGTGGGTGACGATGAGAACTGGTCATGTTCCAAACATCTTCGCATCCCTGCAGTGACAACTCCTTTGAGAACATGTAGATACCTGTGATTTTCTTAATTACTCCTGTACACCCACATCTCTCCCTCTCTCCCTTAAGCAGGAGCGGGTACTGAGGGTAGGCTGCTGCCTTCCCCCTCAAGACCTCTACTCCTTCTTTCCTGCGTCATTTATGTTTTAACAGCCTCCGGCTGCTCTCCCAGCCCACCACTGCCCCTCCCTCCCTCCCCTCACACTGACTTAATCGAGTGGGTAAGAGAGACTGAGGAAGGAGGCCAGTCTCCCTCAAGTGCTCATACCCAGCAATTAGTTTCTATTATTGCCAATTCAAGATAAATAGAAAATAACAGAGGAATGGAACTCAGACTCAAAGCCCATGCAAAGTGCTTGGCATGCATGACCATTGACATTTACATGTGTGTCATATCAGGCCAGGAATGGGGGTGGGGTCTGCTGGCCTGGGAGTTGGAAGAGCTGGGTTCCAGCCCTGCTGGCTGTGCCGCCCTGACCACTTTCCATCTGTGGGCCTCAGTTTCATCATCTATGAAATGGAGAGGTACTGGGTTATTCTGCCATTTGATGGAGAGCGTGGGCCATAGATATGTCACTATGCAGTGAGCATGGCAGTAGTTACTGTCCTGATGTGCCTAGGAGAGGTGGCTTCTAAGCCTTGGCAGCAGGACCTGCAGAACACGGAGAATGCAGAGGAAAATGTCCAGAAAGAGATGGCTGAGGCAGAAAGAGAGGCCAAGAGATAGAAGCAAAACAAAAGGAAGCCTGGAAGTGAGGTGGCAAATAGACATAGACATATATGATACATCAGTGGTTCTCAAATGTGGCCCCCGGACCAGCAGTATCACGTGGGAATTGGTTAGAAAAGCAAGCTCTTGGGCCCACCCCAGGCCTGCCGAATCAGAAACTGAGGAGTGGGGCCCTGTTTACAAGCCCTCCAGGTGATTCTGGAGCAGCTAGTTTGAGAACTAATAGGATGGACAGAAGGAGGGGTGGAGACCCAGATGGGTATTTTAAAGGCTGATCAACCAGCATTTGTCGATCACTTGCTGTGTCAGGTCAGAAACTGGGCATTTCCAGCTACTTTCTCCCATTTAAACCTTTCAGGATTGTGGTAAAGCAGGCCTTGTTATTCCCAATTCAAAGATGAGGCAACTGAGGCTCAGAGATGTTCAGTCATTGGCCAAAGTCAAAGAGATAGTGACAGAGATAGAATTAGAACCCAGGCCTCTCTGGCCCTGAAGTCTCAGTTCTTTCCTCCGTACCAAGTGCTCTCCACCCATCTGTCCCCTAGCTGCCTGCCCTAGCTCCCTGCTCTGCCCCACAGTCACCCCAGAGCTCTGCTTCCTCCTTCTGCAGCCTGCCATGCCAAAAAGCAAATATGGGAGACGCTGAGGGTTGGGGGAGTGGAGCTAGGGCCCGCCATCACCTTGCATTCCTCCAGCACCAGTGCCAAGTGCAGCCAGGGGACAAAGGTGCTTGAGTAACGCTCCAGAGGAGCTGACATCGTTGCCTTAATGTAGTAACAACTCACACGCCAGATGACAAAGTTGACAGATACTCCCTGCTGCTTACATGTGCCAAGCCCTGTGCTGGGTGCTGTGGAAGAAACTGCGGCAAGGGGTTTATGGTTCAGAGCCAGGAAAACAAAAAATAACAGTGACCACCTGGGGTGCCAGGGATCCTGGGACAGCCAGGGTAGGTCCAGCCAAGTGTTGGAGGAGTTCAAGGAGACTCATGTGGTGACTCTAAGGGACAGCGCCAAGGCATTGGGGACAGTCCTAAGGCTTTGGAGCCAGAGGGCATGGGTTCAGTTCCCAGCACTGACTCACTGTGTAACCTTGGGCAAGTCACCTCATGTCTGACCTGTCTCCTTATCTACAAAATGGATTTAGCAATCCTTCGCTCGGGGGATTGTTCCATTTGTTTATAACAGGCATCTTTCAGTAAGTTGTTTCCTTCCTTCAGAGTATCACTTTAGGCCAGAGGAAAACAGAGAAGGTTTCCTGGAAGAGGTGGCTCTTCACTTTGGCCCTGACTATCTTCTCTGGGAAATCTATATGTAGACTCGGGATATGTGGGGTTGTCCGAGGAGAATGGCCTTCCGAGCAGCTGTAACTATGAATAAAATAGTAAGAGGAAGTCAGTTTCCTCAGTTTGGAAGATTATTCTTATTTTTTTTTTATCCTCACCAGAGGATATTTTTCCATATTTTGTACAGATAGAGTGGGAGGGAGAGCGAGGAAGGAGAGAGAGAAACATCGACGTGAAGGGACACATCGAGTGGCCGCCACCCGCACGACCAACCAGGACCGGGGACAAACTGCAACCGAAGTACGTGCCCTTAGCGGAAACCGAACCCGGGTCTCTCCGGACCGCAGGCCGACGCTCTAACCGCTGAGCCAAACTGGCCAGGGCTGGAAGATTATTTTTTAAATTGGTTTCAAATCTTGTTGCAAAGGGCAAAGCCGGGTAGCCAGTCCACGCTGCTGGGGAGAGCCATGCTCACATTTCCCGCCTTCTCTCGTAGATGATGCAGTTCGCCTGGCAGAGCTACAAGCGTTATGCGATGGGGAAAAACGAGCTCCGGCCCCTCACAAAGGATGGCTACGAGGGCAGCATGTTCGGTGAGTGGCTGCTGGGGAGACCCACTGCCCCCCGCTTGGCTAAGTGGAATGGAGTGTTTCCTCGTTTCCTGAGCATGTCTCTCTTTCTCCAGTCTGGTTTCCTTCTGGACTGTTCAGGCTTCTAGATTTGGGGCAACCCTTAGCCTACCCTCTAACCTTGTGTGTCACTTATTTCTTAGAGCAAACAAACTTGGAAATGTAAGTGGGGACGGTGAGTGATCCAGGCTCGTTGAACGACTCCTCCAACGATAGCTGTAAAACGATCGGGTGTTTTCACAGAGAAACTGAACACGTTTCCAGTGACATGGGCACATGCATTGCCCTTAGGGTCTTGGGGGGTGTCTCTCGCGCTGCCTCGGTGGATGCAGCGCAGGTACTTGTGTCTGATCTGCAGCCTCGCTGCTGGGGTCCCTGCCCTTTCCCGCCATAGGATCCTCCTAACCCAGCACCTCAAAAGCTTCTTTCAGCCAAAGAGACTGCAAGGTGCCTTACTGTGGGCAGGGCCTCGGTTTCAGATTTAACACCCATCCAAGTCGCCAGCTCCCCTTTGTGCAGCCTTTCACGTGAAAGGGTGCTGGAGGCAGCCTGACTTCCCTTCCCGGAGAGACGGGAGCTGTCTGGGCTGGAGGCAGAAAAATTCAGCACCTGAATTCCTTACCCCTTAGAGACAGGCTCCTGAAGTCGAGAACCAAAGAACCAAGTGAGATAACAAGTCCCAGGAAAATCGCCAACGGTTTGCAAGGGACAGCTCCCCACATGTATGGCCCTGTCAGAAGTATTTGTGTTATGGGAAAAGGGACATGGGACGGCCCTTCCCTCCTCCAACCACTGAGCTCCACAACCTTTCTGGTTGTTCAGACAATTCCCTGCCCGTGTGTGGAGGGTGGGAATTGGCAGAGTATCAGAAAGTGTAAAGCTGGCAGAAAATGACTCTGCCACATAGATGCAGCCTCTGTTGACATCTTGGCTCATTTCCGTCCAATCGTTTCTTCTGTGTTTTTTTTTTTATCCCCCTTCGATCTACAATTTTATGTTCTTTTGTTTTCTTGACTTAATATTATATCGTAAGTGTTTTCCTAACTCATTTAAATTTCTTCCTAAAGAATGTTTTTAATAGCTACAATTATTGGAGGGATGTGCCATCATTCATTTAAATGTCCGCTCCAGCTTTTCACTCTTAAAATCATCTTTGTGAATAACATGTTGTCTTAGGATAGATGCCTAGACAGGACTCCCCAGTCAGAAGGGAGGACGATGGATGTTTCTTTGCCCTCAACTAGGAGTTGTGTGGATTCCAGCTGAGGAGCATGGCTGCCCACCCGCCTAGAACACAGACCCTCCCCAACAGCCCACTTCAGCACTGGGGAAAGATGGCTGGTGTGCGTCTCAGTTGTTGAAGCCTCGGCTTCTATAAATCAGGGACGTGATCAAGGAAGTTTCTTCTCTCCTTCTCCCTAAACAGTATGCTGATATTCAGGGAATTGGTGGAGGTCGGGGCAAGGCTGTTGATTTCTGACACTGGACAGCATGGGTGTAACTATTGCTCAGACTGTCAACCGGGATAGAGGGAGCCCCGTGGGGAGCACTTCTGGGAGGGATTGGGCCAAACCAAGTCCCATTTTGTAAAATTCCTCAAGGCCCAGGATTTAAATCTCAACCCTCCTGCCCCTTTGTAATCAGCGGGCCTGGTGGAGGGTGCGAGCCTGGAATGGTGGAAAGACCCCTGGACCTTGAGTCAGAAGACCTCACTCTGCCCTGAACTGTGTGTGTGGCCAAATCCAGGTCATTTAACCTCTCTGGGGCCCTGTTCGTTCATCCTTCACTGGGGCTGCTAGGAGAGCATGCCTGAACATGCAAGTATATGTGAGTAATTTATCATTTCTGTTGCAATAAATGCAATTGGCAGTTGCCCAGGTAAGCCCATAGAGGGCTCTGAGGTCCCATGGTTATCTGTCTCCCAAGAGTAGCCTTGGCAGGGCCCTGGGTGCCCCAACACCCAGTGCCTACAGCAGCCCTGGCATTGAGCAGAGCCTTCCTTTTGCAGCCAGCAAATGAGCTGCAGTGGGTGTCTGGCCCCTGGGAAAGGAAGATGTGTAGGGACCCAGGCATCAGGCAGGAAGAGCTGGTCGTGATTTGCTCACTTTTTCACTCAACAGATGCCTGTTTGGTGCTTTGCTGGTGCTGACTACTAGGGATACAGGGTAAACTTTACTAACTCTGCCAAGACATACACTGGCAACCCTCCCCGGGTCTCTGGGGTCTGCCCAGGTGCTCTCAGAGAGACAGACAAGTAGGTGGTCACAAGTAAGCACATGGCCAGTCCTTCACTGGCTTTAGGTTCTGTGCCTCTGGAGCCCAACAGACCTGATTTCAAATTCCGACTTCACAACTTCCTGGTGTGTGACCTTGGGCAAGTCATTCCCATCTGAGCCAGAATTTTTCTGTAAAGTGGAACTAATGAACACATCAAACCCCCAGCCCAGGGCCTGCCTGACCCACTGAACCTGCTTAACAGGTAGAGTTATGATTACTGTTGCCACAAATGGGTCTTGGGATACAGAGGCGTACACCAGAGGAAAGGGCTCAAGGGCAGTCTAGGAGCCTGGAGGAGGCTAGTTTGGGGTAGGCCCATGTGGGGCTTTGAAGTCAGGCTATTCCTGAAGATAAAAAGAGATGAACTGGCCTGAATTAAGGTGCTTGTCTTGCCACCAGTTCTGTTTCTGGACTCACGTGGGCTGCTGGGCAGCATCATTCCTGGACCCCGGCTGCTGCCGTCATCAGTGACCTCCCAGTAACCTGGGACCTGCAGGGAATGATCAGGTGTCAGCAGTGCCCCCCTGCCCCACCTGCTGAGTCGATGTGCAGGGGCCCTGAGCTGCCTCCTGGTGCTGCCTCCTCTCCAGGTCTGCAGGGCCAGGAGGGCTGCATATGGAAAGGGTGATGAGTTCACACTGGCGCCTGGCTTTGCAGGATTCACAAGAGCTACAGCAAGGACATCAGATGGCAGCTATCCTCCCAGTGCAGCATTTCACCAAATTGGATTCCCTGCCCAACTGCCCATGTGCCCCTCCCTGAATATGTTCTCACTTTGACAGCAAGACTGCTGGGTGAGGGGCCTCTCAACCAGATCTTGTGTCCTAAGCAATTCAGTGTCAAAGTGGCTTCCTTTTTACCGGCCTCCAGCTGAGCAGGCCCTGTCAAGAAATATCCCCAAGACCCCAGAGGCTGTGAGCAAAGAGGACACAGCCTGCTCCTCACCTGGGGCCCCGGCCCCTTTCCCTTTCCTCTGAGAGGTAGTCAAATGGGACAGTAAGTGTCCAGCTGGGTGGTGGGGAGCATGGACTTAGGACCCAAGTGGGCTTGAGTGCCAGCTCTGTGTGGTGCCACTTAGCAGCTGTGTGGCCTCTAACTACAGAGTGGGACAGAGGCCGCTGCCTCCTGGGCTTGTGGTGACAATTAGAGCGACGCGCAGAGGGCCTAGCCCCGTGCCAGGCACAGAGCTGACACTGATGGCAGTGCTCTTATCACTATTGAGTCACAGAGGTGAGTCTGCCACTTGAAGAAGGAATTCTAGGACGGTAGGGGAGAGGAACCAGCCATAAAGCAGCAGAGGTCCACTTCCTCACCTGTAAGAGGGGCTGCTGCTAGGACTTGGGAGAGTTTTAAATAAGCTAGATGAAGAGCATGGACTCTTGGGGCCAGGTAGCTTGGATTTGCACACTTTTGTGCCCCTTACTAGCTGTGTGATCTTGGGCAAGTTTCTTAACCTCTCTGGTCCTTGGCATCCCAGCTATAAAGTGGAGACAACAGCAGTACCTACTCACAGGATCATTTTGAGAACTAAATGAGTTAATACATGAGAAGTGCTCATATTCATGCCTGGCACAGAAGCAGCATTCTCCCAGTTCAGCTGCTGAAGATGATGTAAGGTCCTTGGAACAGTGTGTGCTTCTCCTGTTTTGACCAAGTTGTGTCCAAGCCCTCTGGACCCAGGGACCCACCTGAGGGCTCTAGGACTTTCTCAGCCCTGATCCCTCCTTCCCTGTTCTATGAGCCCTTGAGTGTCCGTGGCAGAGATTGTGGGTGGGCAGCCTGCTGGTAGATATTGTACCGTTCACCCCTTCATTTAAGCAGCTTACAGTGCAATTTATAACAGGGAGAGGCAGGGGGAGATTCGGGTTCGAGGCCATGAGATAAGTCGGCCTCCTACTAGCACTAGGATTTCCGGGCAAGCAGTAAGTGACACCTCACACTGGGAGCCAGCAGTCAGCCTTGAAGCACTTAATGCACATTGATCCTCCCAAGAAGCCAGAGCGATCTGTAGGGCTTCATTTCCTTGGCAGTGGGGAGATCCTCACAGAGCAAAGTGCTAGGAGGTGGCCACCAGAGAGGCCCTCAAAGGCAGGGCTGACTCCCTCGTCTTAGAGTTGGGGAAATCAAGCTCAGAGAGGGGGAGGGACTTGCCCAAGATGACACAGCATGTTAATTCTAGGACAGGCACCCACCCACTCTGAGATTAGCGAAATTGTCCAGAGCCAGATTGTCGAAACACAGGCCTGTGGTCATGGCCAAATCACCAGCAGGAACTAGACATTCTCAACACTTTCGCAGAAGCAAACTGTCAGAAGTATGTGATTTGGGGGCCAAGAGTCTACCACTCCCTGTACATGCATTGCCCCAGGCACTGTTGCTACCCTCTCTGGTATTCTCCTCACAGCCCTTACCTGTCTTATCTCCATTTCACAGATGAGGAAACGAAGACTTGGTGAGTTTCAGGGCTTGCTGAGTCACACAGTTATCAAGCAGAGACTTGATTATAGTTCTGTCTGACTCCAAAACCCAATTCATCAACCACCATGCTGCCCTGTCCCCCAGTGGCCATAGAGAAAGGCACGGGCTGGTCTCAGGATTGGTGGTGGTGCATCTTTACTGCCCTCCTAGAAGCTGGGGAAGATGTGCTTCACAGCCAGGTTCTGTAGCCACCCATCTCTAGGCATCAG